GCTTAACAAAACAAACAAGCACAGTAGAAATTAAAAATTAGAGAACATTTTCAGAGATTAGCAATGGCCAGACTCATTTGACCATGCAATGGCCACAATAAGAAGAAAATAATTTCTCAGATGTGGAAATATCTGAAAACTATACTTTCAGAGAGGGCATAAAGGCCACATCAGAGAAGAGAAATGCAGAGGGATCTTAATTCAAAAAAGAAAAGTCCAGCACATCACATGGATTTAGTGGAAGAAGGGGAAAAAAGATAACTCATGGGTCAAAGGTGGTCTAGAAGACAGCTGAGCTAGACCCTAAGAAGCCCCTTTCACAAAAGACCCAAACTGAGCTAGGACCTGTGGTATGCTTGCATACACGGAAGGACCCCACTTCTGTTTGCCAGAGACAGACATTAAAGCCAAACAAAACAAGCTAAATGTTAGGACCAAAAATAACCCAATGCTGCCTGGATGTTTTAAAACACCAAAGGCAAAGAGGAGCTTTGTAACAGTACCCAGTACCCATTACCTTATCCATTAAAGATACATAATGGTCATAGAGAAAGCTGGAAGAATTTCAAACTGGTCACTGATGGGGTAAGCACTGTGAAACCTGAGTCAAGGCAGCCCCCAACTCCGCAATCATGTGCAATGAATGTGGTTATGGCATCTTTGTTTAGCAAAAATGGGATTAAAAAAGGCAGTGAGGAGGCATATTGCCTGATAATTGCCCCTGAAAAGCGTTCACTCTTCAGAGGAGTGTTGGGTTTAAATGTGAGTCTAAACCTAGCCAAAACCTGCTACAACCACTCATGAAGGTGCATATCTAAGGCCAGGGTCTGGCAAAGTGCCTCTGCTTGGGATCAACAAATCCATAAAGAATCCCCAGACCTACCGCCTTGACCTGAATAGCAGAGACCTCTGTGAATTGGGACACAAGTGATGGTCACTGCTTACTGCAGGCCTGATGCAGAGGGAACACCAGTGGACTGGAAACTGGGGCTGCTTACCTACTGGACAACTGTCCAGGGTTTCACAGCTGACCTTAAGTCACTAGTAGATATCGATGACTGTAGAAACTTCCAGAAATCCAGGGCTGTTTCAGGCAGTATATCAGTATAAAAGTGGAAAAACCTGCACAGTAAGTAAGTATCGACTGCTGGCCAACTGCTTTTTTATTTCCAGTGTCCATGTCTTCTGTAGGGACAGTATAATCCAATAGTCTAAGAATTCTATGAATTCCTGTTTCCTTCAATCGACAATAAAGAAATACTGCCTAAATAAACTAGGGCTACAGTCACACTGAGCTAGGTTTTTTTCAAGCATTCTCCAGGCATTTTTAAGCAGATTTGCAAGTATCATAGGCTTTTTTCATTTAGGCATTTTTTGCTGTGGCCAATAGAAATAGCTGCCGTTTGAGTTGATAACACCTGAAAAAATGCTTTCCCATTGAGATTGAGATCTGCCTAATAAATAAAGACTCAATATTTTTATTGTGTGCATTAATTGCAATAATACAGTATATTACAGTGCACAACAATTTTATATTGTATCACTACCCTTATTGTGCAATCAAAATGTATCATTAAAAAAAAAAAAAAAAAACATATAAAAGAGTATGTCAAGTTTTAGCACTATTGAAGTTTGGTAACACTAGCTGGGAATGAGACATGTGCAGAATGAAAAATTTGTTTGTTTCTTTTTGATTCATTGTTTAAATAATTTGGTTTAGTGCAATTCATTTAATACATTTAGTTTTGTTTATTTGTTTGTGAATTCGATTCAGATTTTTAAAATGTGGTTGAATTGAATTCAATTATATCAAATTCGGAAAATTCAAATCGACATTCAAATTCAAATTTATAATATTTGAATTTCGGAAGATGGTTATATTCTTTCTATTTTATTCTGTTCTATTGTTTTATTCATATTCTATTCTGTTCTGTTCTATTCTAATATTTTTTTTTAGAATTTGCATTTATTCTAATCGAAATTAGAATTTTTGGACAATGGTTATATTCTTCTATTCTCCACTATTCTTTTACTTTCTATTCTATACTATTCTTTTCTATTCTATACTTTTCTTTTCTATTCTAATCTATTCTATTCATATTTATTCTATTCAAAAGTTGACTTTCGGAAGACTGTTGTATTCTTTCTATTTTATTCTATTTTTTATTCTTTTATATTCTAGTCTTATTTTCTATTCTGTTATTTTATTCTATTCTTTTTTAATCTATTCTATTCGAAATCAAATTTATTCTATTTGAAATTCCAATTTCAGAAGACAGTTATAGTCTTTTTATTTTATTTTATTATATTATATTGTTTTTTTTTTCCGTTCTATTATATGCTTTTCTATTCTAATCCATTCAAATTCAAATTTATTCTATCAAAAATTGGAATATTGGAAGACGGTTATATTATTTCTATTGTATTCTGTTCTATTTTTTTCTATTCTATTCTTTTCTATTATATTTTATTATTTTCTAATCTATTCTATTCTAATTTGAATTTACTGTATTCAAAATTAGCATTTCAGAATATGGTTATATTCTTAGTATTCTATTGTTTTTCATATTCTATTCTATTCTATTCTTTTCTATTCTATTATTTTATTTTATTTTTTTAGATTATATTCTGTTTTGTTTTACTCTATTCTTTTCTATTTTGTTTTATTCTATTCTTTATTTTCAATTCTATTTTCTCTATTCTTTTATTTTCTATCTTATTCTATTCTTTTTTTTCAAATTTGATTTAGTTTTCAAATTTGATTGGAATTTAGAGAAATCCAAATATCCATATCTCTGAATAATGAAAAATTCATCCAAATTTCTATTTGGAACAAAATGAACCACACGTCTACTGGGAATTATAATGCGGTTTTGGTGATTTTCATATGACACATTTTTAATGTTTGCACAATAGGGGTGGCGTTTTAACCACCTCGCGCGATCAGCCATTGCAATTAAATGGCTGGTTGGGGCGCCTGTTCTTAAGAAAGGACATTTACAAACGCTCTTGTTTGTACTGCGCCTGCACATGCCAGGAGTGCTCACAGAGCCTATGATTGTCAGTAAACAGTGCAGATAAGAGCCAATCAAAGTAGCTCTGTTCATCTGGCTGTTGCCTGAAAATCTTCTCACAACAGAGTACAAGGTCCATACACACTGCATGTGTCTTTTACTGCAGTTTCAGGTGGGGTGCTCTGGTTGCTACATATTAAACTTAAGGCTGATGAACTATCAATGATGTTTACAGTAACAGCAGTTGGCAGTACACAAAGGTATTCGACATCTGGGTACATGTGCCGAACATGCAGCAATCTATGTCTACAGCCATGGAAAATGTCATAGCTTTCAGCTGCTGTTTAATGACCTCAATACCAGCATGTTTTTTTTAATTTACCTAAAAGTTTTGGAAAAGGGTCATTTTGGGGGTGATTGTACTATTTTTTTTAAATATTTTTTTTTAATATGTATTTGTATTTATTCCATTCCTCCCTTAGCTAAACAAACATTTAAAGTGGTTGTAAATGCTCTGATTTTAAAATCAGCATAACAAATATGTCATACTTACCTGCTCTGTGCATGGTTTTGCATAAGCAGCCCCAACCCCCCTCTTTCAGGTCTCCCCCTCTGGCACTCCTGGCTCCTTCCTCTGCAGAGTGCCCTCATAGCAAGCCACTTACTATGGGGGCACTTGTGCGTGCTCACTCCTGAGCCCTGACACAGGGTGGAGCTTGGCTCTGCCCCCTCTTCACTGTCTGTAAATGACAGCAGCTGGAGCCAATGGATTCTACTGCAGTCTCTGAGCCAATGAGGAAAGAGCCTCTGCTCTCATGCACATCTCTGGATTGAGATCAGGCTTAGGTATGTATAAGGGAGGCTGCATGTAGAAGTTTTTTTTACCTTAAGGGCTCATGTACACTGCAGCTGATAAAAACTCATGTTTAGGAGCTGTTCACAGCATTTTTATCAGCAGCCCATGTACTCACCCTAATGTTTTCCTATGTGTCCATGTACACATCTTCGTTTACAGTCGTTTAAAGCCATTTGTGTTTACAGTAGTTTTTTTGGGATGCAGAAAACTTGTGTTCTGCAGTTGATTTTAACAGCGTTTCAAATGCTAAATGCTTGTAAATGTGGAAAGCGTTTTATAAGCGTTTGCATTTGAACGTTTTTTTAACTCTTCCAGTTCCCAATGCTGTCCAGAGCCTTTTTTCATCATGAAAAATGCATGCAAAGCATTTTCAAGGTACTCAAATGGACAAAACACTGAACACAGGATGTTCCTGCCAAGCTTGTCACACATTGTAATGACCAATTCACACCTCAGGCCTCTCCCACCCTTGGAAACAAAAGATATGTTAATGACCATTCACACCTCAAATTCCTCTTGGAGACCCCCTGCCAGGTACTCTTAATGACTCACTCCACCAGACACCTTTCCCACCCTTGGAAACAAAAGAAATGTTAATGAGCAACTCACACCTAAGCTAATCTCAACACATACTGCTCTCTCTGCTTCTACTCTCTGTATTTCTCTGAAACAGTCTGAAATAGTTAATAATTTACCACTTTTCATTGCATTCTGGGCATTAGGGAGGTTCTCCTGTGCTTATCTTTAACCACTAGCCTACAGGGCACTTATACCCCCTTCCTGCCCAGGCCAATTTCCAGCTTTCAGCGCTGTCACACTTTGAATGAAAATTGCACGGTCACGCAACACTGTACCCATATGAAATTTTTATCATTTTTTTTGAGACAGATAGAGCTTTATTTTGGTGGTATTTAACCACCTCTGGGTTTTTTCTTTTTTCTTAAACAAACCAAAAACCACTGAAAAAAGTTTTTGTTATAAAATTTTGTAAATATGGGATTTTTCTCCGTCACTGATATGCGTTAATGAGGCTGCAGTGATGGGCACTGATAGGCTGCACTGATGGACACTGATAGGTGGCACTGATGGGCACTGATGAGGTGGCACTGGTAGGTGGCACTGATGGGCATTGACAGGCATCACTGATGGGCACTGAAAGGCAGCACTGATAGGCGGCACTGACTGGCACTGTTAGGCGGCACTGATAGGCGGCACTGATGCTCACTGATAGGTGACACTGACTGGTACTGATAGGTGGCACTGACTGGCAGCACTGATAGGTGGCACTGATAGGTGACACTGATTGGCATTGATAGGTGGCACTGACTGGCACTGATAGGTGACACTGAAAGGCAGCTCAGATGGGCACTGATATGTGGCATTGATGTGGCACTGATGGTCACTGGCACGAGGCACTGATGAGCACTGACAAGGGCACTGATGGACACTGACAGGTGGCGTTGCTGGAGCTACACTGATCATCAGGGCACACTGATCATCAGTGCCCTGATGATCTGTGTACATGTCCCCGCCGCGGAAAGCCGATTACTGGCTCTCCTCTCCTCTCCAGCTGTCAGCGTGGCAGCTCGAGAGGAGAGAAATGCCGATAACCGGCATTTCCCTGTTTACACGTGATCAGCTGTGATTGGATACAGCTGATCACATTACCGAGCCTACATCTCCGGCTCTTTCTGTGATCGGTAATCCGCTGTGTCCGAGGGACACAGCGCACCGCCGTTCGCCGAGCTGCTCGCTCCCTGAGCCGCGCATGCACGGTGAGAATGGGAGGACGTCATATGACGCCCTCCCAGAACGAGAGAACCACCTTGCGTCCGTCATATTACTATATGGTGAGCGGTGGTTAAAAATGCTTCTAAACGCAAACGCACATAAATGCGCATAAATGCGTTATGCAACCAAGGAAAAAAAGATGTTTTTTGACCTACGTTTTCCAGCAGTCAGTTTCCATCGTTCAGAAGTGTCCCGAGTACATGGGGCCTAATGGAGAGAAAAAAACCCTGTTCTTAGAACCACTTTAACTGCTTCCCGTTCGCCCTATAGCAGAAATACTGCTACAGGGCAGCACGGATGCACAAAATCACGTACATATACGTGATTTTTTATTTACGGGTAGGGGGCGTGTGATTACCTGCCGGTGCCCGGTGATTACCGAGAATCTCCGACGGGGAGGAGGACTATCTTGTTTACTAACAGTTTTCCTCCCTGTCACCTCAGGCACACGGTTTGGATGGCTGTGCACAGCACAGCCATCCAAAGCTGTGTGCTTACAGTGAAGTACACTAACACGGCCCCCTAGTAAAACATTCCCTGCACACAGTTAACCCTTTGATTGCCCCTCATGTTAACCCCTTCCTGCCCAGTGCCATTAGTACAGTATCAGTGCTTTTTTCTAGCACTGATCACTGTATTGGTGTCACTGGGATATCAGTGACACCAAGTCAGTTCCCCCCAGTGTCAGAATGTCTGCCGCAGTCCCACTATAAGTCGCTGATTGCCGCCATTATTAGTAAAATAAGAAAAAAATTCCAGCATCTATACCACCATTTGTAAACACTATAAATTTCACGTAAACCAATTAATCTACACGGATTGGGATTTGTTTTAGCAAAATAAATTTTGGCCTAAATTTATGATGAAATTAGATTTTTAAAATTTTTTTACTGGACATGTTTAATAGCAAAAAGTCAAAAATATTGGTTTTTTTTTTTCAAATTGTCAGTCTTTTTTTTTTTATAGTGCAAAAAAAAATGCAGGGGCGATCAAATACCACCAAAAGAAAGCTCAATTTGTGTGAAAAAAAGGACGTAAATTTCATTTGGGTGCAGCATTGCATGACCGTGCAATCGTCAGTTAAAGTAATGGAGCGCAGTAACGCAAAAAATGGCCTGTGTTTATTTATGCTATTAATTGATTATCACAGTCACTATTCACCATAGTAGCTCACAAGTATACATATAATTTTTAGTTTTCTAAAGCATTTTGCATCATAAACAAGTGACCTTTTTTTTTTAAAAAAACAAAATACTTTTTTTTCACTTTTCTTTACTTTTTGTTGCATCTCAATGCTGCTGACATGCTGCAGCCTGTCTGCATGCATGTACTTCAACGTGGGTTTCCTAAAGGCAACAACATGGACCATTCCTTCCTAACGTGTTAAAAGAGGCTGCTTGTAGGCTCCATCAGAAACCCATGTGAAAACAACTGGGAGGTAAGAACAAAGCATTGTCATCTATAACAGTAAGTGCCTGAGCAAAGGACTTTCATGGCAGGATCAGCAGGTATTATTTTAATGATAGCTGTAGATTTTAAATTATTGAAATGACTCATGAAATTACAATGACACTGTAACATTTATACGAAATTTTGGGTTTACATATCCTGTAAACTGGTCAAGTGTCTAATTGTTAGAGAAGGAAATTTAGAAAATAAACTTTGTGTACATAGTCCATTTTTAACAACTTTGCCCTAGATTCTTCAGCCACCATAGCTCATGAAGAGAGTGAAGAAAGAACTTGGTGCCTACTACAGAAGTAAGGGATAATGTGGATGTGTAGATACAAGTTTTTGAGTTTTGAATAGAGAAGAGAAGGGTATGGTTAGAACCTCTGTGAATAGTTTACTGCTGTCTGTGCTCCAGTTAGCGAGGTTTACCCACAGTATTTGCTCTGGTGGTTATTGTCACTGAGACAGAAAGGGAAGGAAAATCCAAATTTATCACCTGTTGTGGTGATAACTGCCTAAAAGCTGAATTAACTTTACTAGAGATTTCCTCTTAAAGTAGACATCCAGTCAAATACTTTTTAAGCTTAACCCTGCTCCCTCCCCCATTCTAAGCCCTATACCAACTGCCCTGTAAAGGAAAGATGTGTATACTTATCTATTCTGAAGGCAGTCCATTCAGGTCACACAATCTCCCCAGTGGCCGGCTTCAGTGAAGAGGAGAGATCCTTGACAACAATTGTAATGATATCTTTCCTTTACAGGGTAGATAGAATAGGGCTTGGATTGGGGAAGGGAGCAGGTTCAAGCTTAGATATTATTTGATTGGACCTCTGCATTAATTTCTCTTCTGTTCCTCGGGGAGGATGTGAAGAAAAATGTCCCCAGCAGGGCACAGATAGCAAAAAATAGACTAACATGTTTTTTTCCCTTCCCTACACTATTCAAAACTAAAAAAAAAAAGTTTTGCTTTTGCTAACATTTTAGAACTGTCCTTTTGCAGAGGCTATTTTGTGAAAAAATTTTTTTTATAAAGCCGACAGTTCCTTTAAAGTGGAACTGAAGATAATGTTTTTTTTAAGCTCTAGCTAGCATTATATCACTATTAACAATAAATATTCATGCCAAAGAACAAGCGGCACATGCACTCACCCGCCACTTTATTAGGTACATCTTGCTAGTGCCAAGAAAATATCCCCCACCAGCCTGAACCTTTGATACAAGGTAGGATGGATCCATACTTTTATGTTGTTTAAATTCTGACCCTACCATCTGAATGTCTCAGCAACCAGTCTGCCCATTCTCCTCTGACCTCTGACAACAACAAGGCATTTTCATCCACACAACTGCCGCTCACTGGATATTTTCTTCTTTTTGGACCATTCTCTGTAAACCCTAGAGATGGTTGTGTGTGAAAATCCCAGTAGATCTGCAGTTTTTTAAATACTCAGACCAGCCTGCTGGCACCAACAACCATGCCACGTTCAAAGTCACTTAAATCCCCTTTCATCCCCATTCTGATGCTTTGTTTGAACTTCTGCAAGTCATCTTCACCACGTCTACATGCCAAAATGCATTGAATTGCTGCCATGTGATTGGCTAATTAGCAATTTGTGTTACAAAGCAATTGAACAGGTGTATGTAAAAAAGCGGCCGGTGAGTGTATGTTGAAGATCTAGTATGTTTTGGAATATCTTTTACTCACTCAGCCTTTTTACTTTTATGATAAGACCGTCTCCAAGGGCTGCGCCAGGATTTCCTCTCGGCCAGTGCAGTGTCTGGAAGGAAGGCAGCTAGTGAGCCCTCCAGGAGGTCAGGCTTGCCACACAGTGCATGCTCTGTAGAACAGTAGTATGAGCACTCGCCATAGAAGCAAACATTATTGGCTGGGAAGGAAAGTAATATACGTCAGGTTCTGTAGGACAGCAATATGTCATCCATAGACTTGATACATTTGGACAATAGAAGAGCCCATTTATTAATGAGAACCAACCAGAGACATTCAGTGCTCCTGTCATGTTACTGGAACACTTCTGTACTTAATTTTATGTATGTAAGAAAAACAATATCAGTCTCACACATCAGGCATGTTAGCTTGTTTCCTATAGCTGGAGAGCAAGAGGAGTGATGTTCATCACCCAGCTAATACCAGCTTATATGGCTCCAAGCACTGAAAGAGCATTAAGATGGGTCCTGAAAGAGGGGGTACCAGCGCCGATGCTGGTGGACAACAGATTCTTTGTAATCCCAATGTTCTGAAAAGAATGCTAACATGGAAATGATTTTATATGTAACCCATCTTTAAAATGCTGAACTGGTCCCATAGGTCCTTACAAGGATTAGAAAAGTGCACAGAGCTCCCTTAAGCACTTAAGACTTCAGGATAGGAGAACTTAACCAGATATCCTGCCCTATCTATACAATACTATACTTATACAATAGTATAGGTATTGCATACGAAGTATGAAAGTGACAGTGAAGTATGCAAGTTTCAAAATTAATTTAAATCCATAATTGGGGGGAGAGTGGTTTTAGAAGACCACCTAATTATCAACACTTCCTTTAGGGTATTAGTGGTGCTTAGGAATAACCTAACGCCGATCAGCCTTAGGTGTGGGTGCTGTTAGAGGGGGTTTATCTCTGGGGGAACACCATGAATCCACCCCTCAGGTTCTGAAGAGCCTGTGACTTGACATGTAGAGGGAAGAAGGGGCAACACACTGCCGAATATCCAGGCATGGAGGTACTAACACTTTTGCTGGTTTGGTGTTACATGAGGAGGAGAAAATATATAAAAATAATAATGGCAAGCCTGCAAAAAACATAATAAGGATTAAGAGTAGCATGTAACATTCTTACCATTCATTTTAAGACATTCTATTTATTAAATTGAATGGATAAACAATATGCAGTAATTAATTTTCACATGTAGTCTCATGACAAAACAAGGTAGAAGAAAGCACCATACAAATATTTTGTACGGAACAATTCACTGTTTTTTAGTGATCCGGGTACTAGATGTTTTTTATTGTTGATATAGTTATAAATCTTAGTAGTAGTCTTTTCTGTAGGGAGATGGAATACTAAAATACATGGATTTAGATTTAAAGAGAGCAAGGACATGGCGGTCATTGTAGATGAGGCAGCTGTTCTGTGCAGTCATATATTCTAGGTGAATGGGAGACAGTAATAATACAATTAGAAGTGGTTGCTTGCCGTTGTTTGCCATTGTGTGAATCATAGGGAGTCTCATCTGCTATTAAACTTCCAGGTTTCTACGAACATTGGAGCAACAAAAGATTATTATGAATAATGATTTCAAACATAAAACACTGAGAAGTCTTCACAGTGCCCTCTACCTGGGTACAGTTCTGATCTACATTTCAGTGGAAAAAGCTGTGGCCCATATCTCTAAAGTATCCATGG